ATATATATATATATATACATACATACATACATACATACGTACACATCCAATTTTTATTCCATGCAATCTCAAATGTTCGTTCGAATGAACTTTGGAGATATACTTGTACACAAACATTCAAATGTTTATTCCAAGCTATCTCGAAAGAAGTTCGAATGAACTTTAACGAGATATACTTAATCTTATACTTAAGTCTTATAATTCAAAATCATATATATCTAAAGGACCTAAATTTAACTAAAATCTTTGCAATTGGGATCCCTATCCGCACATAACTGTTGTTCCAATTATAGTATGTTTCAAACCATTGATTACAAGCCAATTTCAATTTTAGTTGCACTGTTTAACTTGTATGAAAATTTTGAGGTTTACGGTTTAGATTTTGGTTTTCTTGTGGCCTTCGGTTATACAGCTTTTCATCTATTTTTGCCAATTCATTGATCTAACATTCATGTATAATGCTTTCTTAAACTGCGGCACCATTCTTTTAGCCTGTTTTTCTCACACGTGAAAAAACTCGGAGCTTGGGGGCACGTAGGGAATTTTTTTTCTTTTTGCTCGCCTTCATCTCCTGCATTCATTCCGTTCCACCTCTCAACATCTCATCCAGAGCAACATAATTGGTTGGATTCCATTCTGCCCTTCATATATATCTCTACCAAAGGCATACCAAAATCCACCTCTCTCTCTCTATCTCTATTCCAAGCCACCAAAATGAATTCAACTCGGGAGATCAATGCATTCCGGCCATCATCTTCAACAATCCAGAAGAACTCCCATCTCATCAAGAAACCTACAGGCATGCCCATCAGCACCACCTCATCCACGGTCATGTCCGACTCCTCCATTGCTTCTGCCTCACATTCTCAACCAGTCATTATCCACGCACATTCTCCCAAGGTCATGCACATACAAGCATGCGATTTCATGGCCATAGTCCAAAAGTTCACCGGCTTCTCTACTCCATCCAATGATGACAATAATACTAATCTAACATGCAAAGATGACGACCCTCCTGTTAACAAGAAAAGGAAGATCTCCGTTGGCCAGAGAGAGGAAAAATTAGTCGAATCATCATTAAATGACAATCGTCAATTGAAGCCACAGCAATGGCCCTCCGTTACGCCAATCGCCAACGTTGGGTTCAATCCCTTCTCTAATGCAATGTGGTTTGGGCATGGATTTACGTCAGAGATTTTTGAGTTGCCCAATTCGATCTACAGATTCGCTGAGATGCCGGAGATGTCTTCTATTTCTAATATCAATAGTACATCATCAAGATTATCTGACGTATGATCTAACCTTTTGTTTGTTTTTTTTTTAATAATTCTATTTTATTTGTTTGTCATTTGTTTTAATGGTGGAAATTAAAGATTTGGTATTGGTGATGGTGGTTTTTGGGAAAATTAATGAATTGTTTATTTTCTTTTGCTGTATTGCTCAATTAGAACAGGTTGAATCACTCAGAGTATGTATCCAAATCCAAACAAAAAGAATTCATTCGAAATTGCATTGTCTTATTGTTTGATGATAACGGGCAGATTTGTTACATCTCACAGTTTCTAGGAGAAGAGTAGCTCTTAGATTGATGTGAATACATGACTTCCCATTGTTTCATTTAAACTTACCAGGGGAAACGCAGCCAAGTGTTGTCTGGGAGCGTGAATCAACTTGTTATTTTAATCGTATTGTATAAAATGAGTTCGAAAAACTTTTTTTTTTGGGGATTATTGATGAAAGTACCATTCAATAGCTGGCAACTTGACATCTATTTATTTATTTATTTTGACATAATACAACAGTGCATTGTCTTATATTTTGGACTAAAAGTCTTTTTGTTTCTATCATTTGTTTTATATTTTTGGTAGTAAAATGTAAAATATACCAAAAAACTTGACATATATGTATATATATATATATATTATTTATTTTTCATATTATTTGAAATGGCGACAAAGACAAAATGATCATCATTTTTTTTAAGCAAAACAATTTTCTTAACCTATCAAATAGTGTTAACATGGCTAAATGAGATTGTAGATTTTCCTTTTCTCAAAGTTCAAAATTTTTTTTTTTTTTTATCTGTTGATGGGTTCCAATGGAGGGTTTTTTCTTTATCGAATTTCATTTTTATAGTGTTTTTTTGCAAGAACTTGTGGCTGAGAAGATTACCATCACATTGGCAGGAATTTAGCTTGAATGAATCCTGGAGATGTTATGTAATCAAAACTAAGTAGCAATGATACTAAGCGGTGAAAGTTAAAAATGATAGCAATCAAAGAAGTGTTTGGATGATGTTCAAATAACATATTAATTCAATTTTTTTGAGGCAATGCAAGTTATAAAAGGTATTTGAAACATTTTTTAATCCATTTCTTTTGCGAAATTAGGCTATATATGATCTATAATACATGAAATTTGGAGTTCTTTACTACTGTTTATTTTCTTGAAACAGTTTGCTTAAATGTTCATTTAGGAATACCTCAGTTTTTTATTGCAAACTATTAAATTAAAATTGGTCAGTGCTATTTTAAAAGCCTCCAATTATATATGAAAATAATCTTAGTGTTGCTCAAATCTTTATTCTGCTCAATTTAAATGTTATCCGAGCATGGTTACAAGGTTTTAATTTGACCCCTATGAGCCACACGTTGATGTAACCTATCAAGTTGATAATTCAAGCTAACCACATAGACCTATGATAAGAGTAAAAGCAATGCCCAATATTTTAAGTCCCACTCTTTGATACTCACTTTAATTAGGACTAGTTTATATTCCGTTTCCCCGAGAAACACCTAAATTCCACTAAATCGAGCCATCTATTATAAATCTTAAATACACATCCTAAGAAAAAAGTTTAATAAGCTTTCAGTTCGTTACACCAACTAAATACCATTATTCAATGGGATCTTCCATTTTATTCTAACTAGTTAAAACTAAAAATCTTGGTAGTTATGCTATTGTATAACTTCAAATCTATCACAAAATTGCCATAAGTTAAAAAAAAGGCACTTCTTAAATATCAAAATACAAATCAAGTCCTTTTCAATTCTTAAGCTTGCTAATAAGGCCACCCTTCATCATTATATTTGGTAGCATAACAAACATGGTCAGAACTTTTAGGCAATGCAAGAACTTTTTTATGGTAAAAATTCCTTATAGCGCTCATGAGACACTTAATAAATGTGGGTTAGTAAATCATTTGTTATGATAGATCTATTTAATATTAGTTGCTGCAATATCTTGTATGTTTTTTATAACTCTATGGTGTAAGTAGTAAGTCTAATTTGTTAGCTTCACCATGAAGCCTTGCCAATATTCTTATTTGAACCTATCCAGATATTTTTGTGTTATTGTAAAAATATTGCTATGAAAGTGCTCCTCCTTAAGAAAATAAAACATTGAAGTGATCTACAAAAAACTTTATGTAATCATATTTATTTTTTATGTAAACTATTTATGATAAAACTATTTTTTAATTTGCCAATTCTTAAAAATAATTTGTGATTTTAAGAACTTGAAACTTCTAGATCTAAGAATTCTTTTTTAAATTTGTTTGCATTAAAAATTAGACGTATAAAAATATATGTTTATTAAACTAGGTATATCTACTGCTAAAAAAGTTTAAGCTACTTCAAGAGAGCTTGATAAAAGATATTTTTACCACATTCTTCACCTAGGAAGTTCTTTAATAAAAAAAATTCTACTTTTTCTTTCATTTAAATTTTAACTTTATCTCTCTCTTCTTTAAACTTGTTTCTTCTTATCCCTCTTCATTTTTATTTATCTTATTCACAACATAAAATTAGAAACTTGATTTGGATCGTTAAATCCTTAAACCTTAGGAATCATGAAATTGACATTAGTACTAATGACATATTTCAAAAAAATAGAATTCAAATTCAAGAATTAAAAGACCAAATACAAGTTATCTTAAATTATTTATAAAGTACAAAATCTTGTGCACTTTCTGCCTAAAATAATAATACACCATTAAAAGAAGATGAATCATATTTAAACCCATGTAAAGACCAACCTCATAAGAAATAACTCAATCTTAGGAATGGAGGTAAAGAAGACCATCCTTCTAAGAACGTTGTTGTCTTTAATGGTTAATTCAAGAGAGAAAAATTTGAAGCTCTCTCTTATGATGGCACCGATGAACTTAATAGGTTATTAAATTGGTTATTTAAAATAGATACCTTCTTTGATTGACATTAAATGAATAATTATTAGAGAGCTAAATTTGCCAAAATAAAATTTATTGAAAAATTCCAAGGTGTATTGGATCCAATATCCAACTAAAGAGCAAAGAATGGGTACTACCTCTCTAACCTTGATTGAAATGAAGAAGATGTTAAAAATTAAATATTATCATAGGCATCATGATAAGAAGCTACATGGTAACTACTAACTTTAAGAAAACGTAGTCTACTTGTAATTAAATTTTTTAACACTTTTGAATACTTAATTATTATGATTGATTATGATGATAATGATTGACAATTGTATAGAAAATATGTCATTGAACTTTGTGGAAAAGTAAATAGCACAAATTTTAGAATTTTTTATTTCTATGATCATATATGACATTAAGAAAATAAAACATCTAGAAATATAAAAGAAAATATTCTTTAGTCAGTTTACTTTTTTAAAATAATGATTTACTATTTTGAGCCCAAGTTACTTGAAATTTTTTCCTTTCTATTTTAGGAAAGTTATGATTTACTTTAATTTGGGATATAAGCTTTTAATGAAAGCATTTAATTTGGGATATATGCTTTTAATGAAAGAAAACTCTCATGTTTAATTACACCCTAAAAGATGTAATTTTCTAAAAAAATCTTAGTGTTTTTATAGATTTTAAAAGTTAAATTTAAAGATATTCACTATAAGAAAGTCAAAATTATTTGGTAATTAATAATTTCAATTATTAAATTAGGTTACCAACTGATTTGCTACTGATTTTTATCAATCATTAACACTCTGATCACAAAAGTCATAACACAACGACAAAATACTTCAACTGATACAGGTTAGCAACTGATAAATTGATTGTTAAACTTTAGCGCTAGAGTAATGATTGAGTATTTAGCCGTCAAAGTCATTTCGACTGAAAAAGTCAATCTTTCACCTTATATTTGAATAACCCAACTTTTAAACCTCAAATAAATAGTTGAATTAATGACTGAGTGGTGTCATAATAATCGATCGATTAGGGACTTATTTTTTACTAATTTAGCGGCCGATATATTAGTTCTAGTTGGTTAAAAAACAAATTAATTGGGTTGATTAGTAAATGAAATTTTACTCACCTATAATCCCAAATTAACTAGGATTTATATTCATAATATCTCATTATGATTTAGTATTGATAATAAATTTGAATAAAAATATAATAAACAAAGCAAGTATCAATAAGTCATCAAGTACACTATTGCTCACAACATAAATGAAGTAGTTTTGCACACACATATATGAAAAAAGAATAAAAAACTAATTGTGTTGTTCCTCTATGTCCTCTTGGTCGTTGTCCTCATCAATCATAGGTTGCTTGCCATGACGACCTGCTAGTTCTTGCAGTTGTGTAATTTTTAACTTAAGCCTCTCGACCCTATCATCCCTGGCTTTCTCAAGCTCCAACACTCTAGACTCCAACTGAAGTCTAATATCATGGCATCACCACAACTCCTCGACCAACAAAGCCACACGCTTGGATACTTCATCATCAATCAGTGATGATCTCTAGCCTGAACTGAAGTGTTTAACCTAATGCACAAATCCTTGTGCTTTATGGTTGTAGATACTCCCTTTATCCCCTCGACAACTTCCTTCCAAATCTCGAAGTTAGAATGGTTAGAATGATCACTAGAGCTATTAACACCTACTGGGCTCTAACTCTAAGACTCCTTAGGGCTCTTGATCTTGATGTTTGCGATGTATGCGATTATATGCTTAATTTTTTTAATAATGATTCTCACTTTGCAAAAAAGCTAAAAACTTGATCCCAAGAGAAAGCTAAGTAAATTTTTCACTATGAAGTAAATAAGAATACAGTTATAATATTTAAATATAGGATACTATGCAAGTATACACATCATTATCAAGTAATATATACATCATTATCAAGTAATTATCAAGTAATATATGACTTTTTTATTCAGCCTCAAATATCGAATCCACAGGTATAACTAACAATATGCAACTTTACAAAACAAAACAAATTAGATGACAAAATTTTACTTAGTAAAGTATTCTTACTTAAACTCTAGATGCTATAATAGGAATGAAAATTC